CATTATTCATGTCCCCTCAAGTAAAGTGACCAAATATTTTATATGTATACTGAAGAGTTATTTGTTTCTTTTCCAGTTCTAATTTTTCTTTGCTGTTCTCTAGTCATTGAATTCTTTTGGGATGGTATTGTCCCTGGAATATATGGCTCCATGGTTATTGGGCATATTAATAAATGTTTATGTTAAATTTAATCAAACACTGCAAATCCATCTGCATTTTGCTGTTCTTCTGTGCTTGCCTGTATTTCCATTATAATTGGTGTTTTATGCCTCCCTTTTGGCGATACGTACTTCTTAAGCATTCTTCACATTGGTGACCACAACTTTGCCCTATCTTGTGAGGTTCATGAAAGTGAAGAAAATCTATGTTTTTCTATTTCTCACCTGCTGAATTCATTGTTGAAAAATTCTCTTTCTTTCCTCACAACTGAAGTAAAAATGTATTGATCGAATTTGTTTTTATTCAATAAAGATTCCAGGATTTATGCAAGTTTGTGATTACTTTGGACCTGTCCTTTGTAATTTCAATGAATTAATTTGTATGTATCACTGGAGAACTGTGGAATATATTAATGCATTTCATTTGGAATTCACAAGCCTCAAGCCTATGGGATCATAAATTCTGTCAATTAACAAAAGATTTTGGCCAAACACATTGTTTCCTGATAAAAGCCTAGAAGTCATGTGTTATGGAACCCGAATTACTAATTTCAACATCTGAATGTAATGGAACATTTCTGATTTGCACCAAAGAGTAAGAAACCTGAATTCAGGAATTTTTCCAGTTCCCCACTGTCTTGTGAAAGAAATTATGACTTATTGGTGATACCCATAGTAAGCAAAGAATGCTGACCACATGCAAAATACAGGCTAGCTGTGTACTAAATCAGTACTTGTTTTACTAGGTAGATTCATAGACAATTCTTCACACAATAATGGTGAAGATGATGATGTGATCATGCTGATGATGAAAAAAAATCAGGTAAGTACCTCTGACAATCATTTCTTGTTGACGTTTTAAATTGTTTAATATAGCTAATGCAACTACTGACTTGTTATGGAGACAGTTTCATCGTTTTGACCTGAACTGTAAAAATTAATTTGTACTGCGTTTAACAATCCATCTGCCAACGTTTTTTTTTTTGGTCATTCCACAATACAATGTAATTATGATTAACTATAAACATATAACGCACAAATGAAAAGTAACAGTGGTCTACATTTTGCGTAGTTAATTCAAAGCTCTAGTGGGGGCGCCACTCAGCCCCGGAGGATTTAAACTGTACATTTCCTGTTTTTGGTTACCATTGGAGCTTTCTGAACACCTGCTGTGGGTCCCCATTAGTCAGTCGTTGGTCCACAGGCATAGCGTAAAAATGATCACCATAGCATAATGTTACCTCGGAAAACATAACGCAACCTACAGTAGTGGAATTGTGATAGGTAATTAACTTCTTACATTGCATAAAAACCTTTGGCTACATGAAAAGATTGGGAAGGTGAAGTACTGTACAATTATGCCTAAATCTAAATGAATAAAGCTAAATTAGGAAAGGAAAGGAAAAAAATAAAACCACAAAAAAATCAATGGCTAATCCTGTATAATGAAAAGTCAAACATTTCAGACATTTTCTGACAAAAGAAAACAAATAATCTGACAAATCATCTAAAAATTTGTATATAACGATTTCCAGAGACATTATTTCTAAGGAAGGAGTGGCACGGGGGTTCATTATGGTCTCACGCCTCTGACTTTATGTGTGGTGTGGTTTGAATGGCTTATGTCCAGCGCACTCTATTTTCCTCCCACACACCAAAAACCTACAGTTTAGGTGAATCGGTATTCTGTTTAAAAATTGCCCTTTGTGCATGTGCCTGGTGTGGGGCGGCATCCTGCTCTGGGTACAACACGCCTCATATGCCTATCGCTTCCTGGGATAAGGTCCAGGCTTGCTGTGTAGGTACAAAATGAGAAATTACCAGCACACTGGCAGATTCGTCTAGTGTTACTCATGTTAAAAAGCCAGCCAATGTCTTTCCTGAAAGTTGGAGAACCAATTATATGGCATGGCTATAAATATAAACGATATGTTAAGGTTAGAGGTAATAACCACTTGTTATTTAGGCCTGGTAAAGCAAATTTGAATAATTATTTCAAAGGGTGACAAATGGATGTTTAAACCTTTGCGTTTTTGTAACTTGTACTTTTATTTGTCTAAAAATTGGACATTTAAAATTATTTTTGTCTTCTTTATGTAACTAAAGCTCTAATAAAATATTTATTTAGTTCCCATTGCTCTCTGTAATGTTTAATCATAAATATCATCACGCTAACATACTGAATTAACATGTTAATACCAAAAAAAAATGAGAGTGGAAAAGCATTCTGTTGAAGTCGACCTTGATGTTGTTAATGTGATGTTAAAACTTTCAAGCTGCAACATAATGAATGTGGCTTCTGGTATTATTTAGCTGAACTTAATTAAAATATACTGATTCTATTAGAGGACCTTTTTAATGGCGACCGATGAATGCAGAGACAGAAGGTGCCCAGCCCCAGGAGCGAAGCCCAACATAATACCAGTCATGGTTATTAGTTCAATCATCTCATGAGAGGCAGTGAGAGAAAAATGTATTCAAATTTTGAGTATTTCAGCCTGAGGAAGCTGGGAGACTTTAGAAACTGGAGGGCACTGTTGATTTTCTTAATTTGAGATATTCAAATTTAAGTTGCCCAGTGACTCTGACCATAATAAGTGGTTAGAAAATAGATGGATGGATGGATGGATGGATGGATGTAAATCTAAGATAAATTGAATATAAGCTGAAGTGGAATGACTTCAAAAGGCAAATTCAAAATAATCATTTCAAAAGTATCTGAATGATGCATATCAGCCATTCAAATAACATGAAGCACACACCAACATTTACATAACATTATGCAAATGCAAACTTAACCCAGTAAGGTATAAAGGATAAGGTCAAGCTTGAACTACAAAGCTGAGTGACATTGATTTGTAGTTTAGTATGGAAATAGTATATGCAACATGATTTCAGGAGGACCATTTCAGCACCTGCCCTCATTTCTTGTGACAATATATGGTAATAATTGGAGGAGAATTCAGACACGATACTTAGGGAAGCGCACTTGTAATTGAAAGATTGCAGGTTCGAATCCCCGACCTGCAAGCCACTGCTGAGGTACCCTGAGCAAGGTGCTGCCCCCAAGCACTGCTCCCTGGGTGCTGAATTAGCTGCCCCCTGCTATGCCACATATGGGTTAAATGCTGAGGACACATTTTGTTGTGGTGTGTCAACAATGACCACTAAATTCTAAATATTCCAGCTCCTAAGACTCCCAAATGAGTCAAGATTCGGCTGTTGAGTGACACTAAACAATTTTTAATTCATCTTAATTAAAAAAATACCATTATTGTTGTTGTTCCAGTACCCAAATGTCATGATCCGCTCCGTCCGCTCCCGATGTGTGCCACGCCCCCTCAT